AGCAATCATAGCAGAGCAAACCAACATTTTGTGAATGTCATGGCTGTTCCTGGAATGAATCTGATTCTAAAGGGGATTTTAAAATGAATCAGGGTGAAAGAACACAACTAGGCCCACTTGACATCCCCTTGAAGTCAGCTGGTCTCTGGATGGGTGCATGGGTCCACCCACACAGATCCATTTACAGAATTTGAAACTTGTTATTCATGCTAAATAAAGAATATACCAGAAGACTCATTATTACATTAAACCTCCAAAATAACTCATATGCTTTCCATATAGAAAACATACTAAGGACTCAGTATGTCACATAAACTAGCTTCCACTTTTATTACACAATAAGACAAGAAGTTAAACATAAATCAGTCATTGCAATTTGGTGCATCATATTTCATAGCCAAACACTGCTTCTCATGGATTGAGTCAGTTAGCAGAACAATCATCAGTCATGAACGGGAATTCTGATGCAGAGTAGGCAAAATAAATGCTTAGACTTAAAATCACTTTTAGCTAGTCACTGGTTGTTTCTCCTGGGGAAAGAATCTTATTGTCTTATAGCCTCTCTCTGTCTATTGGGCCTACACCACTGTAGAATCTGAGCACCTACTACGTAGAAAGAAAGATGATTATTGTTATTTCTATTTTAACTCGTTCCTTCTTGGCCTGTAGGAGAAATTTCTGGGTTCGTTTATAAGATATTAATTTGTTTGTTTGTTTATGTTTGTGTCGAAGATAGAGCAAGCAGCTGAACTGAAGAAATTAGTTTATTTGTGATAGAAACTATTTTTATATGTGATAGAAACTATTTTTACATAACAAGCAGGGCCGGCCCACAACATTTTGGCACCTGAGGCGGGGAGCTGAAATGATGCCCCCATACCCCCTCATTTGGGCCAAAACTTTGAAAGGTCTCAATTCTGCCTTCTTCCTGTTCTACTCCTCTCATGGTACTGCTCTGCTACCTACCCCAATAAAGGAGAACTAACAACTTAAAATGCCATGTTCAAAAATTTTAAGTAACACTTAACTTTCAAACACCTGAACAGCAAATGTAACTTTTCTTGTCTGCATAGTAAACATTGGCATTTTTATCTGTTTGAATAATCAAAGTGATGCTTTCTGTGCCTTCTTGATTGCAAAGATTTGAACTGCTTCCTGAAGGTCCACAGTCTGGGCCAGCTCATGCTCTATTGAGATGGTTGCAAGCCAACCATTGTGTCATTGTGGAGCGTAGATGTGTTTTTATTAACTTCAGCTTGGAGAAGCTGCGTTCTCCACTGGCAACTGTTACAGGAAGTGTTAGAAGTATGGAAAGAGCAACAAAAGCATTTGGAAAGAGGGTGGTCATCTTATTTGTGCACATATATTCCAGAACAGCCTTTGAAGTTGATCCTGATGAAATGTATCATGAATGGGCTTTCAGTTCATCACCTAAATCATTCACATCAATATTGCACATGTCATCATGTGTCAACATTGTTTCTAGTGCCCTGCATTGCTG